GTAATAAGAACATTATCACATCTAAAGTTATGTCTGAGTTACTTTCACCTGCTCCGGTGCCAACTTTAACGAAATCAAAATTGAGCACAGAAACGATTGTTAATAATAATAGCTCGGCAGTAATAAAACAACAACTACTACAACAAAAATTAATAAGGGAAGAAACAATTACCCAAGAACAGGAAAATGCAAATGAAGACTATAAAAGAACCTCTACAGACTCGGTCACTTCGACACAAACTACTGACACTACTTCCTCTATAGGATCAATAAATGAAACATCAGACGGCATCACCGAAAATACAACAACAACAATTCCAGAATTAACAGCCACAGCACCCGAATCTCCTGTAGAAATACGTGTTACATCGCCGGGAGTTGTCGAAACGACATTGAAACGAAGATCTATTATGGGTGGAAATGGTGGTTCAGATGACGATGATTTACTTGATCCCGGGATTCGCGTACAAAATGATGCAGCAGAAGAGGAACTACACATTGAAACGGATGATCCATCACATTTGTTTTGGGTACCGGCTCACTTGCACCCGGAAATTGCGCCAAATGAATTTAGAAAGTGGCTGCAAAATCATGCTAAAGATGGGTTTAATGCGGGACCAGGTTCTTTACGGAGACGAAAATCTACTCTTTCACATCAGTATATACCACCAGAGAATGGAGACGTGGAAGATGAAGACTCGTCAAGAATAGTTGCTAAGATTGCAAAGAAAAACGAAAATCCTGTTGATGGATTTGATTGGGAATCGTATGGTGCTTCTGAGGGTAATATTAGTCCAACGTCTGAATCGAGCAAATTAAATATTCTGAGACGAAGTCTCAGTTTGAATTTAACACCGTTTATGGGTAAGTTGTCTGTTTTGATATATATAGTATTATATATTATCCATAATCTATAGATTAGATGTAATATATTTACTATATAAATAATATATATATAAAGTATATATGTTATTAACTGCACATTCTTTTCGGGCGCAAAAAATTAGAATCATCAATATTTGATCAATACTCATCGCCCAATGTCGATTCTGATGTGCTGGTTCCGAGAATGGCACCCGCGCTAAAACGTGCTGCAAGAACAAAAATTCGAAGAAATTCTGTAGCCGGAGCACATGATCCTCGTAAATTTTCTGCACATAGGCGCACAAAGTCAACTCACATAGTTTCCGAAAAACAAAAACAGGCAGTTCCCGGTGCATCATCCTTATCTTTGTCGCATAAATTGTCACAATCGAATAATGAATCTTTGGTAGGATTGAAAATTGGAGTTAATAATGGTGAAGGATCAACAATTGAGAATAATAATAATGAAGAAAAAGACACTGAACTTGCACGTAGTTCATCAAAACCAAATTCTGAATTATTACGAATCACATTAAAAGATGGTGGTGGTAATAATAATAATGATGATTATGATGATGACAATGATAATAATGGTAATAATAATACAAACAATAGTAATACAAATAATAATAATAATGGTGGTGATGATGATGAACTTGCTAAAGCTGAACCTCGTAGAACAAGTTCACTATCTCCTAATGCAATTGAAGTCGGCGATACTCTACAAGAAGGACGAATACCAATTTCAGAACAGACGAGAATCTCACTAAATGTTGTAATATTATCGAAAAAAATAATGTCTGGGAAAATATCACCTACATCACCCACTTCTACTACTGCAGAAACAGCTACTAACACGCAAATTATAAAAAGATCGTCAACTTGGTCCTCATGGCTTCCGTGGTCAGGAAATCCTGAAGAAACAAGAGCAAAAAAATTATCGAAATCACATAACAAAGAAGCAAAAATTGATCGAGAAGCTAAAATAGAAAAAGTTAAATTCGTCGATAATAAACCGATTAAAGAAGTCGAGAATAACAATGTGTTGGAGCATCAAGAAATAAAAAATGACGATGATGACGATGATGATGACGAAACTATGGTAACAGAATGTGAAAGTAATAGTATTGAAACTGTAGTCAAAGAAAAATCATCAAAGATATCTTTTTCCTCGATATTTCCATGGAATAATAAAACTAAAGTCGCTGAGGATGCTTTTCCTTCAAGTACAGCTTCGACGTCCACGCCCGCTACTGCTGCTACCACTGCCGCCGCCACAGTACAAGTCATAAACAAAAAACCAAAATACACAAATTATAATCGATTACCAATACATATGGAACGAGCGATATATCGTCTATCACACGTGAAACTTGCTAATCCACGACGTCCATTACATGAGCAAGTTCTTATCTCGAATATGATGTTTTGGTATTTATCATTAATTAATAAACAGCAGGCAGAATATGGAGGAAATCATCCACAAGCAGATAAAGAAGCAAAGAAAGTTAAAAGCAAAGTAGGAAAAGAGAGAGGTGGTAAACGAAAACGCAATAATAAACAAGCTGGACAATCCAGACGTGTATCAGAGATTGCATACAAAGCACCACAATATGATATGCAACAGGCACAAATTGCCCAACAATATCTATCGCCTCACTCCCCGTCTGCTCAAGATGTTAGTGGATCATCACCTTTTATAAATGGCGCTGAAGCTGACTCTACTGATGAAAATAGTGATTGTGAAAGTGGTGAAGAATTTCCAGCACACACTTATCATCATTATAATAATGGGTATACATCCGACGGCACAAGTGGTGGATATCTCGAGGATGATAATAATAGTAAGAAGAAAATGACCGGTGACCTTTCTGGTGCAAATGGACAGCAGGGACATGCCGAGAATAATGGTAAAGGAAATAGTAACGAAGAAAACGCTAATGGATCTAAAAATATAAATAATGGTAATTATAAAAGACCACCTCCCAATACACGTCCAATTTCAAATGCTGGACGCCCCGTATCACCCAATGGAAGACCAAAATCACCAAATGGACGTTCAATTTCACCAACTTCAAATTCAGCTTCTCGTCGCTCTCATCCTCAAGAGGCTAATCGCCGTCCTATTAATTCAGCAGCAATAAATGCAAGGTCACCGAGCGCTGGTTCGCTTCTTGCAACTGGTGTTAGCACGGGAAGTGTTGGTGTAAGTAAACTTGCATCAGTACAAAGTCTTCAAGATGATGACGACGACGACGACGACGACGAAGTGCCCCTTGGTCTCTATAAAAATATGATCAAGTAGATTCATGATGAACTTTCATGTAAACACTTTTCTATTTCATTGACAAGACCACACGAAACATTAAAAGAGAATCAAGTGGTTAGTCAAAGGAAAGTGTCTCGGATGCAAAAAGATTTTGGGTTGAAATAAAGAGAAGAAAACCGCGTAATTTAGCTCAATAAAAGACTATTAGAAGTGCAAAAATTTCTCTCCTTTTTTTTTGGAAGTGAATTATTTAATCAGTTAATTTTTGCTGTTTATTTTTATTATCATCACTACTTTAGACATCCGATATTCTCATAAAATTTTTGTATTTCTTTATTATTTTTTGACACATGTTTAATACTGCACGTAACTCTCACAACTTGTCTCTATCTCACTTTCTAGGATTCTCCAATTTTTTCTGGGTCAATCTCCAAAAGTAAGAAATTTTGACCCTCATTTTTTTGTATACATACTATTTCCTTGTTATATTTTTTCATTACAATTGTTTGTTTTTTTCTTTCATGTATTAATTTTTACTTTATATATCCCTTCGCCGTATCATACACACAACTCTCAATTTACACCCACACATCAAAATTCAAACATCATATACCACATATATATATATATATATACATATACACTTCATCGTAATTCGGAATACAACACATTAAATAATCCTGGAAAGAATGTTTTAATATTATTTGCCATTAAAATCTTTTGGATTATCGTTATTATGCAAGTCTAATAATGTGGTATGATGCAATCTACCACCTATTATACTGAGAATTTCGGTTAGGTATAATTTGGAATGATCTACATAATAAATTTGATGATCTTTCATAATACTGGCCAAACTAAAAATCAATAATGCCAGGCAAAAGTATGTGAATTAACGATCACTAACACTAATACTTTACGTTAATAATCAGGCACAATCGAACAACAATCTATTTAGTAAATCCAGAATAATGATACATTTTTATTGATCATTAATTATTAATTATTGATAATATAATTGACTTAGCAAAAGTTATTATATTTTTTTTATTTTAACAAGTTAATGATGTAAATGATAATCATAATATAAGAGATTTTTTCTGTGTGAATATTTTATTAAATTTATTTTTTTTGAAAAAAAAAACATTAACTTTTAAAAATAAGAGTTTTAAATTATAATAAATATATTTATAATTATTTTTTGTTGACTTTATTAAAAAAAATTGGTATATAATATCTTTTATTTAAAGATAATTATACAAGTACTATGAAAATTTATTATAATAATGAATTTATTGAAATAATAATAATTACTTTTTAATTTATTTGATTTAATGATTAATTTTTTTGGTTTTAATTTGCTAAAAATTAATTTGTTATATTTCTTATAATAATATTAATTAATATTTTAATAACTTTTTAATTAACTATTAGTTTTTTAGTTTTAGTTTGCTAAATATTAATTTATTATATTTCTTATAATAATTTTGATTAATATTTTTGATTCATTTAATTATCAATTCTTTTAATTTGTTTTTAAAAATTAATAAATTTATTGTTTTTAAAAAGTTTTTGTCATTATTATTTATAAAATTATTATAGTTATTATTAATATAAAAATAATATTATAATTAATATAATAATTTTTAATAATTATAATTTTTGAAGATTAAATTATAATTAAATTATAATTTGTAATATAGTGACAATCAGAAATAATATAATAATATCAAAATTTATTAATTAAATATATTAAAATATGAAATTTTCTCTTTATATAAAAGTTTTTAATTTTACTAATAAATATTTTTTATTTTTACATTAAAATGAAAATAATATTACATATTTTAACATATATTTTTTTTCAAATTTTTTAGATTTAATCTGATAAAGCTGTTCTAATTGCATATAAAATTAATTATTTTTTTATAATTAAAACATATAAAAAATAATTAACTTTATATATAATTAGAATAGCTTTATCAGATTAAATCTGAAAAATTTGAAAAAAAATATATATTAAAATATATAATATTTATTAGTAAAATTAAAAACTTTTATATAAAGAGAAAAATTCATATTTAATATATTTAATTAATAAATTTTGACATTATTGTATTATTTTTGATTGTTACTATATATAAATTTCTTTATAATTACATTTTTTATAATTATTTTATTTTATTTTTTTATTTATATATATATAAATATAGTAAAAAATCTTTTTATAATTATATTATAATTTTATTTTCTTAGAAATAATAATTATAAAAGAATTTAATTATATTATAATTTTTATAATATATATATAATCAGTTATTTTATAATATATATTTTAATATTAAATAATTTAATTCTTGATATTTAGTAATCTAATTTGAATAAAAATATATTATTTAATTTGTTTAGTTGAGATAAATTGAATGGTAATATTTTTTCAAATTAGATTACTAAATGTCAAAATATTGCATTCTAAAGTAGCAAATTTGTTTTTTAATATTAACAAAAATGAATTAATCAATTTAGAATATAATATCTTGATTTTTAGTAATTTGATTCAAACAAATATATAATCATTTAATTTGTCTTGACTAATTAAATAATACATATTATTTTTTGAATTAAATTACTAGTAATCAAAATATTATATTTTAAATTAACTGATTTATTTTTCTGATGATTAATTTATAATAAAAAATTAATTGATAAATATAAATTAATCACTTTAGAATATAATCTCTTAACATTTAAATATTAATTTGAGCAAAAATACTACTATTCGATTTGTCTAATCTAAAAAAATCAAATAATAGTATTTTTGCTCAAATTGGATCTCTAAATATCAAAATATTATATCCTAAAGTAATTGATTATTATATTTGAAATATGAAAGTTTATAAATATATAATATTTAATATAGAAGCTCTATCAATTTATAAAAGATATCATGATTAATATTTGTAATATTCTTTATGCTCAAAAAATTTCAGAATATTATATATAATCTATAGAAAATTATGAGAGATTTGTTACTTTTAACAAGTTCTATAATAATAAAATAATAATTTGAATATTTAATATTAATTTTACAAGTAATAAAATATATATACTTTTAAAATTATAATTAAATTTTTCTTAATACTCTAACTATAATAAAAAAATATATAATGTACATAATTTAAAATAGGTCTATTAAAATATTAAATATAAAGTATTAAAATTAAAATTAGAATTAGAACTGAAATCAAGCTTATATAAGATTATTTTTCTAATATTTTTTAATAATATATTTAATATCTGTTTTTTGTATTTTTTTATATTTTTTCTCTTTCTCATTTTCTTGTATCAGATTTATTTTGTCAGATTAATCAAAAATTTGTTATATTCTTATTGATTATGCATAATTTTTATTAATTAAATTAATTTATTATTATATATATTATATATTTTTTTATTAGAAGAAAAGAAAAAAATCTCAAAAATTTCATCTTTTACATGATCAAAAATAATTAGCCAATTAAAATATAATAAAAATTTTATTTGGAAAAGAGAGAAATATCTCTATAATAGCTTAATATTATATAATATACAATCAAATTTCTCTATAGTTACATCCATTTATAGTCATATTTCACTATAGTTATCTTATTTTGCTTTCCTATTTATATATAAATATAGTAAAAAAATTTCTCTATAATCATATCTTCTCTATAGTTACCAAATTTTGCTTTCTCAAAAGTAATGATTATAGAGGAATTTAACTATATATCACTCATCTTATAGCTAGAATATTAAATTTTTTTATAATTTTAATTCTTAAAAAAACAAAATTTGATAATTATAAACAAAATATGATTATAAAGAAATTTTTTATTATATTTATATTGTCATAGTTGTGATATATTATATATTATCTAGTTATTTGTTGATATATTAGAACAAAAAACCAATTAAATAAGTATAGTATTAAAAAATTCAATATAGTTAAACTTTTTTATAGTTACTATTATTTGAAAAGTCAAATTGAATGATTATAAAGAAATGTAATTATAAAGAAATTTTATACTAATTAACATTAAAATTAAAATTATAATAATTTTAATTGAAATTATGATAATTCTAATCAAAATTATAATAATTTAAATTAAAATTATTATAATTTAATTATAACAAAATTTTATAAATAAATAAATAATAATTTTATAATAACAATTAATTATTTCTTAATAATATAAATATATACTAAGTTGTTATTAATTAATTTTTTAAATTGAAAAAATTTTCTAAATAAAACTTAAAATATAAATAATTTTTATATGTAAAGTTAGATTTTTTACAAATAAATAATTTTTAATAATATAATTAAA